CCCCTTTCCCCAATGGTAACCATAAGTTTGTTTTCTATGTCTGAATCTGTTCCTGTTTTGTGGATAAGTTCATTGTGTCTTTGTTTTTTAGATTCCACATATGAGTGATATCATGTGTTACTTTTCTTTCTTTATCTGGCTTACTTCACTTAGTATGGTGATCTCCAAATGGCATTATTTTATTCTTTTCTATGGCTGAGTAGTATTCCATTGTATAAACATACTACAACTTCTTTATCCAGTCATCTGTCAGTGGACATTTAGGTTGTTTCCATGTCTTGGCTATTGTATAACAGTGCTGCTGTGAACATTGGGGTGCATGTATCTTTTGGAATTAGAGTTCCCTCCAGATATATGCTCAGGAGTGGAACTGTTGGATCATATGGTAAGTCTGTTTTTAGTCTTTTGAGGAATCTCCATACTGTTTTCCATAATGGCTGCACCAAACTACATTCCCAACAACAGTGTAGGAGGGTTCCCTTCACAGACTCTCCAGCATTTATCGTTCATGGACTTTGTAATGATGGCCATTCTGACTGGTGTGAGGTGATACCTCATTGTAGTTTTGATTTGCATTTGAGAGCTATACTTTCTCAATATTCATGGAGTTCAACATCTTAGTGAGGGTGTATTTTTCTAAAAACAAAAAAGAGGCAAGGAAATGTAAAAGATGGGGTAAGACAGAATCTTCCAGAGCATCTGCTTTCTGTTCTACTCCTTTGCTTGCAGATGATGCTGCAAGAGACAGTGATACTTCCTGAACATTTATTCTCTGATGGTTATGCAGTTGCCCTTAGAATTGGTCTGCTTCCATCAAGTAGATGCCAAATAGTCCAGGCCCCTAGACAAGTTTTCACAGAGTTAAGGCACTTTTATACACACAATTGCTAAAATCTCTAAATAAAACAATGCAAAAAAATTGTTAGTCATAGGTCATTTGGCAAACTATCATTTGTCTTTTGGGATAGAGTATAGTCTTAGTAACTGATCAGAAACTTCAAAGGCTGTGTTTTCAGGTTTAATTGAAAGCAAGTTTGGTTGCACTGACTCTTTAAAGGTGAGAAATGGTCTTCTCAATCAATTGGAATCAATTCCAGTTAGTTTTTCAAATACATAAAATTCCTGGCATATTACTAATACACCTAGAAGGAAGATGTATCCGATGTCCATTTTCTCCAATTTGGATAACGTTACTGTAGTTACTCTCTTATCCTAGAGATTCAGAGAGTGAGTTTGGTCTAGCTTTGGACACAAAGTTTGCATTTCAAATCATGATGAAATATAGAGCAAAAGTTACCTGAATGTATTATGAAAGTACTTTGTATCTGCAAATGACTTTATACTTGTTATTCCTGGCTCATCAGATTAAGTTGAAATCAGAACATCTCCTTTGTAAGTGTAGAGTTGATCAGCTTTTTACTTCTGACCACAAGTTTATCTCACCACAGAAGTCCTGGGTGGAGGAGGCACTCTGCCTGCAGTAGGCTGGGCCCGAAGTGCTGGGCTAGTGGATCCTCAAGGATGTCAACCTTGCAACAGGTTTTGCTGGATCCAGTTTGACTGTTTGACCAATACAAACAAAGAACTGAAAAACAGAATAAAGCCTGTCTGTAGAGTCGGAGATTAAGAGATTAAACACTCAGCCAGGGGTCAAGGTTTCAAAACTACCATTTCTCTACTGCGCCAGAAAAGTCTGATATTTTTTCGTTTTGCATTGCCCCCTTGAAGGTTTCTACTTTCTGGGCATTCTCAGAATGCCCGTGAGTCTGGGGCAGGACTGGGGAGAGGAGCTGGTTGAGAGGGGATGGGGTGAGTCTCTGAGTGTGGGCACTGTTGGGCAACCAGGGAATAGCCAACTCCCTCTTTTTCCCAGCCCTGGGAAGAACCCCTGCGCTCTGTGCCAGCCCTGGAGGGCTTTGGCCTCCTGACCCAGACAGCCCGGGGCGCGAGGGAGCCTGGGGCCGAGCCCAGGTCGCACCGCCCCCAGCCTCGGGCCGAGAGCCAAGAGTTCGAGGCCTCCTCATCCGGATATGATGAAAAGGAGCAACAGAGGGAGAAGTGTTTCTGGAGTGTAGGAGTGGTGGAAGGGGGAAAGAGGCAGAGGGGGACGAGTTCCCCTTGGAGGGGAACCGGCCGGATTGAGCTGGTTGGAAGGAGGGGGCGGAGAGCGCGAAGTCAGAGGAGCAGCCGCTGCCGCAGTTGCTGCCACTGCGGTGTGTGGCTGAGCCGGAGAGAGGAGGGGAGGGACACTCAGGGGCGGCCGCCTCCGTCAGGCCACCGCGACATGCGGCCCCTGCCGGAGCCTTGCTAACTTCCAGGCGGAAGAGGAGGAGGAAGGGGCTTGGAGCGAGTTGGGGGGATGCCGAGGTAGGTGGTGGTCCAGGGGGCGGGGAGAGGAGGGGGTCTGATCCCCTCCCCCGAGCTTCTCCCAGATCTGATCTCCTTTCCCAGCCCCCTCCCCCTTGGGTGCCCCACGCTGCCCCACAGGACGCGCTGCTGTGAACTTGCCGGGTAACAGTTTTCCTCCCGGGTTTCAAATCAAAACTTCCCTGGGGTGGGTTTGGGGGAGGGAAGCAGAGAGGGAGGGAATG